AAACCCTAAACCCTAAACCCTCAACCCTAAACCCAAAACCCTAAACCCTAAAACCCTAAACCCCAAACCCCCAAACCCGAAACCCCTAAACCCAAACCCTAAACCCTAAACCCGAAACTCCAAACCCTAAACCCGAAACTCTAAACCCTAACCCTAATCTCTAAACCCTAAACCCTAAACTCTAAACCCTGAACCCTAAACTCTAAACCCTGAACCCTAACCCTTGAACTCTAAACCGATGTGACCAACTCCTGCGAGGTCGATCGCTCTCTACTTGGCGATTAAATGTCCGTGCGCCCGATCCAGCTTGATTCATCTTTTACTAGTGCTTTACGGCTTCACGGTTTAGGGTTAAAGGTTTAATCTAGGGGCCTGAATTACCAATACTATTTCGGGGCGTTCCTTATTATAACTATACTATAATTGGCCCCCCAAACGCTAAGGGCTATTTAACTTGTTAAAAACCCTATATTCCGGTTGTTGGGTCCGAGTTTGGAGGGCTCGGGCCAGAAGGCTTGGCCAGGCAACAGGTTTAGGGCTTATAGGGTTTAGGGTTAAGGGTTTAGGGTTCAGGGTTTGGGGGTTCAGGGTTTAGGGATTTAGGGTTTGTGGGTTTATAGGGATTGAGGTTTAGGAATTCGATACCCTACACCCTTAGCCGCAATCGGAGTGGACTTTTCTTGGCTGACGGGACACCCCGTGCGAACTCACCGGCTTTCAGGTATGCCTCAGTTTGTCCGGCTGGCTTCGCCGCTATGATGGTGGTGATCTCGGAGATGTTTATTACGGGTTTAGGGCTGTAGGGTTAGGGATTTAGGGGTTTAGGATGTACAGTAGGGGTAACAATTCAGCGGCTAGGGCTTTGCCCTCTCTCGTGTTCAGTGGCCTTTGTTTTCAAGTCCATGTTTGAAGCACCCCTAAACCCTAAACCAGAAAGCATGACTTTCAGTACTTCGACTGAAAGGTTCCGACCCAGAGCATACACGATTTGATCTGAGCCTGTGCTTTGCGACGACTACATCATGCCGTTACGCTTAGGGGCTGAGTAGGTAACCATGAACTTTTTGGGGCTTATATTAGGCTTATATAACCCTAGTATAATTTCAAAGGCTAGCCAGACCTTAAACACCGATCACCATGTAGGCGATAGGTTAAAACGTCTCCTGTCCGGGCAGTGCATGTATTCTGTATTCGTGTTGCAACACCCTGTTTGCAGCCTGGAACATGAAACGATTCAAAACGGATCCCAAACTTACAACATACCCTTGTGGTAGCCCTTACAGTAGCCCGAGCATGAAGTAATCGATGCCATCACCGTCGAAATAACTTGACTGAGCCTTCTATGCCACATAGTTCCAACCCACCAGCGACTATGCCTCAGCTCACCGGCATCAGCGCCGCACTGACCGTGCGCCTGGCAAGGGAGGGGGCCGGGGCTGATGCCTAAATCTTTAAGGTTTCGCGATCAGGGTTCGTATTGGAACTCAAAATCAAGCAAGAGTTTCCCCGTTTGGTCCACATGATATTTTTGTTCTCATTGAGCTTACCTTAGGACACCTGCGTTATTTTCGGGTTCGGGCTTCAGGGTTTAGGGCGAGGGATGAGCTTCAACTAGGCTGGCACTCTTTGTGTGTTGCTCGCTCGCTTTCTCTCTCTCCATCTCTCTGTCTCTGTCTCTCTCTCTC